GAAATTTGTCTTGAAATATAAGTGGAAATGCATTCAAAGAAAAAGAATGAAGAAAAGTATCTCTGATCACCGTGACTCGTTTCCATACATAATCACGTTAGAGAGATTTTACTGTAGCTGCTTTTTTGTGTGCGCTTTACATTTCTGTTTTCTTATTTTTTCCGGTCTATCTATCTCTTAAAACACTTGGTAGAAATGTGTCTTCTTTGATATAATGAAAATAAGATGAAAAAGAAAGTTTTGTTTTCTAAGTTATGGGTTAATTAGGCATAAGAGAATAATAAAGGTGTCATTATTAATCACACTTAAAACGGGTCTATTCTAGTTATATCATGCGAATAAAAACTTCTTTTCTTGTCTGTTCGATTGCAGAAAATATATTAGAAAAAATAAATTTATTAGAAAGGTGAAAAAGTGTTTATAAACGAATAAATAATTTTAGAAAATTTTATTATAAATTCTGAATAATAATTATTTTTTTCTATACAGCTTTTAGCAGTTAGTTCATTTTTAATTATGAAGTTTTAAATTTTTTCTAATTAAAATTTAAATTGAACGAACATTTGATATCAGCCGTAATTGAGTTTTGTCTCGTTCAAAATCTATCGATACAAAATTCTTATTTTTTGCTTTTCTTTTATTAGTCCGTTTCTTTCTTCTTTTTTTCAAAAACTAACGACAGAAAAGTTACAGAGAGAAAAATCGTGAGTATGGATGGTTTTAACAGACTATAAGCACGTGATACTAAGAATTTCTTTCTGATATTTCCGTTTAATACAGAAAAAAAAAATAGTTTTCTCTCGTATGGCTCTTTTTTCCATGTTAAAGCACCATTTTTTCTCCCATTCTTTTTACTTCGTTTTTGTGTCATTTTTATTACAAAACATATATAGGCACGCGTAGTTGCCGTATAAGATGGCATAAAAATAGAAGAAAAGAAAAAAAGAACATACACATAGAAGTCGTTAATCTCTGAAACCCCAACATAGTCATTCTATCATTACAAGAAAGAATTGCGCCCGCACTTGAAATATGTAAGTTTTGTTTGAATCAATATTGATCAATTTTTTAATATAAAAAATATCGCACGATAAGGTACGATAACTTATGAGTAATCCATCTATTTACTTTTAGCAGCTACAGTAAAATCTCTCTAACGTGATTATGTATGGAAACGAGTCACGGTGATCAGAGATACTTTTCTTCATTCTTTTTCTTTGAATGCATTTCCACTTATATTTCAAGACAAATTTCATCTTTTATAACGGCGAACAAAATCAGTTTTGCTTATTAAACAAAGTTTTACAAAATAGCAAACTAATATTTTGTTCGATTAGTATGTTTTTTTCTCCGTATAAAAAGTCATCTTACTTTTTAATACAATTTTTTAGAGTACGCTGTAAATCTCACTTTTTACCAACAAGAGGATACGGTTAAAAATAAATGACATTTTGATGGTAGAAAATGTAATCGTAGCATAATCTTCCCGATTGCAGCAATTCTTGGTGGTCTATATATTCTCCTTATTAGTTTCATTTTCTTCAAAGTGAATTTATAAAAAAAACGTCTTTGAGTAGTATACCATTGCCTTGCAGAACACTAATTAATAGTATGAATTATCTGCCGTGATGAGAGACTTTTCTTCCCAAATAGTTTACGCCAATTTCACCAAACCATAAATTTTGAGAGATTATTTTTGATTCTCATCACGAATCTGATCTTTATTTGTGTCTATGTGTCTTTTGAGAATCGATCGTCAAAACTGATACATCTAGAGACCTGTCGAATACTTTGTCTTATCCACTAAGCATTCTTCTTTTTGTAGCGTTCTTTTATTTTAAAAGTTTTCTAACATGGCAGAACAGTGTTTATTAGTCGAAAAATTTTCTTCATAGTTAAGTCAATGTGCTCTAAAATCTGGCTGTATCTAAATGTACCAAATAGACAGTATATGACGGATTGGTTACTTGTTAGATAGTTTTTCTTACATTTAGAACTGAAAAAGAATGATCATCGATCAGAGTGCAGAAGTAATCTCATATATAGAAAGGTTTAATCTTAGAAAATACTACTCTGACAGACCACAACTGATCACTATGAAGAGCTAGTTCTATTGAGTCATTTTACTCTATTTGGTTTTTAAAAAAAAATATGAGCGCATTTTCTAAAAAGAGAAACTATGAAGTTCTTGTCAAACTGTACTATTGATAGACAGCCTAGTTGAACACTAAATACTGTTCTTTTTTTAAGGAAGAGAAGAGTTATATTTCACGTTTACACATGGAAAAAAAAATGCAGTTTGTGAATAAACGGAGTTTATGCAATTCCGTTGATAAAATTCATCTACCTTTATTGTGGGATATATTCTACTTCAAGTTTTTCATCTATATGATACAAAAACCAGATTTGAAACGAAAAAGATTTGAGTAAAAATATTCTTTAGATAACAGATCAGCAATTGTGCACACAACAGAAAAGAATGTGATTCATTAGCTAGAATTTTTTAAAAGATTGTTCTTTACTTCATTCGAAACGATGCGTGTTGCGGGTAAAAAGAAAAAAAGACTTTCGTGCAACAACATAATTGTTTTTAATTAACAGATAATGGAATTTTTTCATTTTTTGTGACTCAATAAGCATGAAGAACAATATGCGTGCGTGGTTCAGAAATATGTACTATTGTTTTCTATTAAAGTATTGTTTAAATTATGTCATTGTTTTGTCGTTGAGATATAGCGCAAAAAACATAACGATAGCTATAATTTTAGAAAATAAACTCGCTAGCCAACGGCGTGCTTGTATCAAATTCAGTTTTTTAGTGTAACAGTTTATTATAATGTTTGAAAACATAAAAATAAATTTCTTGTTTTCTAGAGTGCTGAAACATCTAGTGATATTTGTCAATCGGACATGGGAGATTCGATGATTAACGGACTACCATCAATCGAATATGATTATTTAATTAAATTTTTAGCACTTGGAGACTCCGGTGTTGGTATGTATATTTTTATCAAATCACTCTCATTCATCAACATATTATAACAGTTTGAATTCTTAGACAGCATTGTATTTCTTTTATGTTAGGTAAAACGACCTTCCTCTATCAGTATACCGATGGTCAATTTAATCCAAAATTTATCTCTACTGTTGGTATCGATTTTCGAGAAAAACGTGTTGTTTATAAACCAAAATCGTCACAAAATGCCAAACCTTATAGAATACATTTACAATTATGGGATACCGTACGTTTTATTTTCTTAGAAATTAGAAAAAAAAGAATATATTTTTTTTAACATTTTTTGTTTCTTTCATTCATTTTAGGCTGGACAAGAACGGTAAATGATATTTAAAATAAGTGAAAAATATATGTTTTAGGTATGTACTGTTTACTTCTTTAGATTCCGTAGTTTAACAACGGCATTTTTTCGTGATGCAATGGGTTTTATATTGATGTTTGATTTGACAAATGAAACGTCTTTCTTAAATGTTCGTAATTGGTTAGCTCAATTGCAATGTCATGCCTATTGTGAAGATCCAGATGTGATTTTAGTAGGAAATAAAGCTGATAGAGAAGATTCACGAATTGTCTCACAAACACGGGCAAAAGAATTAGCGGATAAATATAATTTACCATATATAGAAACATCAGCATTTACAGCACACAATGTTAAAGAAGCAATTGAAACATTGTTAGAAAGAGTAATGCAACGAATGGAAAAAACGATTGGTATGTATCATCACTTTGTCTAGATAAAAATCATCTAATGGCTAACACTTGTGACAAAGATGTTAAACGTTTTAATACTATAATATTTGTTTTTGTTTATTTATTTATTTAGACAAATCCATATTTCCTGTTCGTCAACCACAGCAAGCACCAGTTGAAAATACCGAAAGTAAATGTTCTTGTTAAGATAATGACGACGAATACGTATGTGTGTGTGCCTTTTTTCTATACAACGTGAATATACTCGTTACGAATCTCAATAGTTTCGATGACATCGTTGAAAAAACAGTTTAATTTCTTGAATATAATATTCGTTACGGCAATATTCACATAAATATTTTGTTTTGTAAATTAATTGATAAAATTTTATCTATGTGACATATTTTTATCAGATTTCTCTACTATGTTCAGACTTTTTTTAGTCAAGATGTTTTTATGACTGATTATTCTTTCTTATACCGTACCTTCTCTCAACTTATTAGTTTGAAATATATGGCACGTTTGATTACGTTGCTAGTATTACTCTATAGGGATATATATATAAAATATGCTCATATTCAAAATAGATATCAGTATCTCTCCAACTTTATAATATGATAGTTTAGTGAATATAAATTTAACATTAAGTATCGAATAGCCTGGCGCTCGTGTCTTTTCTTTTTATCTTAATGACTAGAATTTGACTATTAATACACGCTAACTGATTTCAGGACGTTCACGTACTTTATCAGATACCCATTCTATAGTCTCTTATAATTATGATTTTTAACCAAATCTTTTTCAGAATGATTATTAAATAGATTTGGTCAGTCTCACTTGTGTCCTAGCAATTAGTTTATTGTCTGTACTGGTTTTTTACAACTATTAAAGTGGAATATCATGAGTCGTTGAATTATTACTTTAAAAAAATTCGTGTTTTTCACACTTATACTATGTATTTCTCAGTTTATTTTTTCATTGTGCATTAGTCTACATCTTCACGCTTCTTCTTTCGTCTGGTTTTGCTTATATTGACAAGATATTGTAACAGTAACTAATTTTATTTTTTTTTGGACGATATTTTTCTTGGTATTTTTTTTCCTCATTGATATTGATCGTGTTCTATTTGTTTTTACAAATCTTTTCTTTTTTGTCTTTTCAATTTCTGACATATCGCTTTGTCTGTTTTTTTGCTGTTAACAAAAGACAAATCTATTTTATCAATTAAAACAAATTGAAAAATTTCTATTCCACGATTCTCAACATCATCCTCATTGATTTATTTAACTAGCGATTATACCGTAATCTAAGTGTCAAATATATAAAATAACAGATATAGTATTGATTACCACATTGCCATTCTGCATTAAAAATAAGTTTTCTTTCCTTTTACTTTAATGATTTTACACGTTATGTAGACAAAATTCTTCATAATAGAAATCGTTCATAAATTCTCTAAAATATCTTGATAAATCAAAACATGGATTTTTTATATTTAACAGTGTAAAATAGACCGTTAAATAGTTTAATGAGTTTTGATACATTAGAATAGATTTTTTCAGAAATATTGGCTTCATTATCTCCATTGGTACGTGAAGTGTGGTTACATCGTTTTTCTTGACTGCCCTGTCTTAGACATTTGGTTTCGCTATTAGAAGTATATTCAGGTTCACCAAAAAGATAATATACAGAAGATAGGAGTCGATTTGTGTTTGATTATTTTACCCGTACTTTCAATTGAATTTCTATAAAGGAAATTAACAAACGTATATTCGTTACGGGCAGGATTTAAATTCTTACTATCACATATGGCTGTTTGCGTCTATTGACTGGATGTGAAGTAGAAGAGTTATTACTAGAAATTTCTCATTGTGAATAAAGTATTTGGGATTAAGTTAATTTTGCAGTAAATCGGTTCGTAGTAATTATATACAGTAACTCGATTAGTCATTAAGAAATTATGAATTTTTCAATTTGCTACATATATCTGATTGATCGTTTTGATTATGCGCTAAAAATTGATCGAACAAAAAGAAATATTTAACGGACAGTAGAAAGAGGACCACTACCACTTACTATCGTTGAATTCAAATGCATTGATCTCTAGAGCTGTTTAGTTTAATTGATTAATTTCCCATTGATTTCTTATTTTCCTTTCTCTTTCATTTATGAGATTAGGAGACGAACCTTTTCGACGTGGTTTAATGAAATTAGGCTTCTCAGTGTCGTTATTTCACATGCTCTTAAACGATCGTCGCACATTCAGAAAAGAGCTCTTCTATGTCGTAAAATGTTAGGTACCTTCAATATAATATTTTGAGATTAACCAGCTAAATTAAAAAGATATTTATATCTTACCTGCGTCAGGCCCGTCCTTGAATATGGTTCTGTCATTTTGAACAACAATTACAGAACTCATTTTGTACTCTTAAATTCAGTTTACCGACTAGCAGGACTGGTGATTTCAGTCCATCTTCCACTCCTACACAGTGAGCAACCACGTGGACATTAGGTGAAAAATCGAAAGTGAACTTTTTCAGGATTCGAATAGCAGGTCGCATACTCCAACTTATGCTCTATTTAATTGGCACAGGGAGTTTTGTTCTAAGTGCCATAGTTAGTGAGAAAATTGAGAAGGGAATTTTTGTTGAGAAACAGAACGATGAAGATCGAAAAACAATTTTTAGCAAAATAGAATAGAATATTTATAAAAGTCATACACCGTTTGAAACTAGATATTTCACTCTCCCTATTGGAAAAAAATTATCTCTTTATACGCTTCGAAATCGAAAAAATAAATCTTCTTTCTAAGCTACGGGTTTTCCAAAGAGCGGTCCTCGGTACAGTAAGTGCAGTTACTTTAGCACAGCTTCAAATTGGACGAAACTTTCACAAAATCTTCTTTTAATAACGATACATCTATACTGTTAGCATAAATTAAACGTTTCTGGACTGAGTTACAGATTTTCCAAAAATCTTGTTTTTTGTGGTAAAATCCATTTTTCTCAGCCCCAGAAGCACTTTCATTAAAAACTAATGATATATTTAGAATCAGCGCACCGAACTGAATCGAATGATATGTCAGTTGTATGTTTTTATGCACAAAAAATCATTCGAGTTAATGAAATGACAGATTTGCAGCATTTCCGTGGAAATTTTGGCTAGCCACTAAAATTTTTGATTTAGAAGCAGTTTCTACACGACAGTCTCTAAACATTATTTGTATAGGTTTTCGTATGCGCTCTTTCCAACGGTGTAATTTACAAAATTCAAAAACACTTTTAGTCGGGTTTTCAAGAGACAGGATCTCGGGAAAACCCTAATGAAAACATCTTTGAACTTGTAAATCACACCATGGGAAAGCGCGCATACAAAAACCTATACAACTGGTGTTTAGAGGCTGTCGTGTCAATTTTACGGCATATGCCTACGTGTCTAGTAAAAAATGCCCACTGTGCCCTATAGCACATAAACTAAGTTTGAAGACCTGTCTGATAGACAGCAAAATATGGATACTTATGAAAAATTCTCTGTGGAAGTGTAGCGCTAGCGAGACTTGACTTCACTGAGTTGTCTACGCAGCGGTATTTTCTATGATGACATTTCAGTTAAAACTCCTTACATTTTTTATAACATCTACAGGGTGGCCCATAAGTTCTGATACGATTTGTATAATAATTTTTCTAAAGTAAAACACATGTTTGTAAATTTCTCTCTATGATGAAAAGACACAGTAAAACACGCTCTACAAAATAGCTTTTGATTGACCCCGCTAGCACATATAGTAAGAAAGTTATAGACTTAGAAATGTGCTTCACAAAAAAGAAAAACTAACGGTGAACCCGATCTTGGTATTTTTGCTTGAACTCCTGTTTCTTAGATCCCCTAGAACAAATTATTTTTTTAATAATAGCGCCATGCAATGCTCTACAAAATCATATCTAAACTTTAATTTCAGAACTTCAGTCAAGAAAACTAAGCAAATTATACGCGAGGCGAAAAAGTGAAAACTTTGTAACTTCAGTATTTTTTTCGACTCGAACTTTTGCTTCTCCTATTATTTCCGTAAAAAAGCTTAGCAAAAGTGAGAACCCAGTTTACGTTTGCTACTTTCGAATGCACTCTTTCTCGTGGTCTGTAAAAAATTTCTCTCAGGGTAGATGGTGTACTCGAGAATGAAGTTTTAAAAATTGAAAACCTCTGTTTCCGACAATGTGCTCAACCAAGAAATAGAAAACGTGATCGAAGTTTGATTCTGCACTTAAGTAGAGAAGAGCAATCATTTCTGATCAAAACAGAATAAACCCGATCTAAAAATCTTTTGTTTTGATGGAGTTACGAGACTTTCACTGAAAGCACCACCATACAAAGAGAGTTCATGGTTAAATTTTCTTTTTTGTGAAGCACATTTCTAAGTCTATATCTTTCTTACTATATGTGCTAGCGGGGTCAATCAAAAGCTATTTTGTAGAGCGTGTTTTACTGTGTCTTTTGATCATAGAGAGAAATTTACAAACATGTGTTTTACTTTAGAAAAATTATTATACAAATCGTATCAGGACTTATGGGCCACCCTGTATATTGGCTTAAACATTTCCAGTTCGAACAATAAAAGAA